GACCATGTCACTTGTAGTATATAGTATACTTTTGGGGTATGTCAGTCATTATCCTATACATATAGTTTTAATACTTAAAAGATATAAAAGATGCCTACTATTCGTTTGTCATCGAGAGTTTGAGAGAGAATTATATGTGTATATATACGTGAAGGGAAAAGTGGTGAATTATTTTTGTCATATTTAAGGTGACAGATAACTCTCATTGCAACGACTAGTGTGTGCCCAACAAATAAATAGAGATCGTAAATATTTCCGAGAATATATTATGCTATTTATGTTCATCATCTCTATTTAATTATGTACATCTTATCGATCTGGTAATGGTACTAGTTAATCCGATAATCAAATTGCAGGCGACATAATTGTTAAATTGATCGATCCGTATATATCGTTGATTCTCCACACACCTCATGTTACATTGTGGATGATTCTTAGGCACCAATAGTCGATATTTTAAGCATTGGCTAGTTTCCTATCCTATCTTTTGTGCTTTGGAAAAAAAAAGGAATAAAAGGACTTTGTGATGGAGAGAATATATTTTGTACTAGTTATTTGTACTGAAAGATCATATCATTTGCTCAAGAAATGAGATAAGACTTCCCTAGTTACAAATGATAGAAGAAACTCTCTCTAGCTGGCCTGTAGGAATATTGTACTGCAATTGCATAAAAAAAAACAACCCTCTAGTTTCTTCTTGATGACGTGGACTCCTCACCTATGTGGATCGGATCAGTACCATATTATTATAAGCCATATAAGATGTTGGTGGAGGAGGGTATACGTGTCATAATTAAGGAATAGATCATGAGTTGTTGATTCCTAATTGCTATGCTTAGTTTGATGGTAACAATAATGATGTCTCTATCTCTATGTGTTGCTGTTTTTTCTCTCTTTGTAATAGGCAGTCTCCTTTTGGGGAGTAAAAGGAAAATGAGAAGAGAAAGAAAACGCATTTCCACAACACCTCAGTCATCGGTGCATTAATATTTCCCGTGATAACCCATGTTACAAGTTAGCTAGCTCTTACTTTCAAGATTTGTCAAATTCATAGGAGAACAAATATATACTGCTCTCTTTTTTGCAATTCGTATAAAGAAAAACACAAACAAAGTTGATGGCGTTATGAAATGTTATCTAATTTGACTCATATAGGGCTAGCTCAATGAGCAACGTTAGTGAAGTCTAGAACATCGATTGGCTCCATATTGTAGAGATCAATCAGATGATTCTAAAGACCCACACTCTTCTTATTTGTTGTTAAATGATCTTCCTGAGTGTTGGTGTACTCTAGGGAGAATCTTGTAGATCTCATTCATCCCAAGAAAAAATGTGTTGATGAACCTGAATCATTACTCGAGAATAATACGTTCGTTTTTTCGACACAACGTAATTAGCTTAGCCAAATATTCAAATTGGTGTCCTCGAAATGACACAACAATCCCATAAAATGACAACATGCTTATGGCTTCAATTCTCAAACAACATTGTGCAAAAGCATGGCCCTCTATGTAATTAATTTAACTCATGCAATTACTTTTAAATTTTTATAATCAAAGTCGGGTACCTTATGCTATTAAAGCTACTCAAATCCATTGCTAGTTACCTCAAAGTAGGCATCATGAATAACAAGCATGAAAGTGGTGCAAAGCCTCCATAAGAACTTGCATACATACCACTTTTAGAGAAGCCATTATTGATTCGATCACTTGAAATTATATAACATTAATGGATTAGGAACACTAATTCCTTATTATAACACCCTCCCTTTCTTTTTCCTTTTGCACATAAACAATAATTATTGCTTAATTTGGGTACTTTGGGTTCCCCCTTTTATTCTTGTAAGCCTTTGTCCAGAGAGGAATTTTACAATGTTATATAGCATTGGTGCTATAGGTTTTTGCCTTTATTGTACAACTTGAAGTTGTACCTTTAACGTTATGGTACAACTTTAGATTGTACCTATACTTTTTGTACAAATTCTTTTATGGTACAACTTGAACTTATACTTTTATGTGATGGTAAAAGTTGTACCATAACATATGGTACAAATTCTTTTATGGTACAATCTAAACTTATACATTTAATGTTATGGTACAACTTCAAGTTGTACATTAAAGCACCGATACTATATAGCATAGTAGAAGTGCTCTTGTCCAGATGCGAAGTATACATTGGCGTGGGGAATTTGGGAGCTGGGATTATAGTATGGTAGTAACGACACAAGATTTATTCTAAAATGATTTGGGAAAATTTGAGTTTATCCCGTAATTAATTCTCAAAACAATATTAAAGTTCTTGATGGCCAAAAATGTATTTTTTTCGAATACTTACAACCTTCTATATTAATAATTGATTTGATTTCAAGGTATAACAGATTTGCGCAAATTTCAAATTCATTAATTTTACTTTCGTTTGAGAGACATACAAGTTACAACAGAATAATATAAAATTTATTATGTAATCTCTCACAACAACTCGAGTTACTGATATAAAACGCATTATCACTGTGAACTTAAATTATTTTTTTGGATTTCAAATTGTTTCACAATGGGAACACATCAAATCATCAATGGCTTCCACATGCATAACCAACAAGGCATAAATTCATCATTATTAATTGGGGCATCGTCCGACCAACCATAAAACAAGAAAAGATTTTTAGGGAACACTTTGATAAGAAAAGATGTCTGTCTGTATGCTCCCACCAATTATATGAGACAAACTAGGTATTGGGTTGCTGAACTGAACCCCAAAGCAGCAGCTTACTGCAAAGCAAATAGACAATCCAACTTTTGCATCATCACATTAACACGTGATGTTCATATAATTCCTTGTCTTTTCTTTCTTCTTAATTAATCAGTTGATTAATCAATTAATGTGGTTTGCTTGTCTACTCATCTTATCTTCTCTTAAGTTGTTTGTTTAATCCGCACCCAAATGCCCCGGCCTAGACAATAAGCTTAAATATTAATAGTCTTTTCCTACATTCCTTCCGTTTTTTATTCTCATACGTTGCTTCGAACTTAGCTAGTAACTATAGCTCGCTGTTTTGTGAAATAAAAAAGAATTTTGATTTACTTACTTTGTTCAACTAATCTCATTTTAATCATCTTCATAACCATTAATATTCTTGCTTTGCTTGTGTTTGATTAAGGAGCTCTTCCGGCCAAAACCACGTAATGGACTTTAGAGTATGTGGACGTCCAAACACGCGATTGCTAATGATATTGTATCGAAAGAATGATCAATTCGTCACACGCAAAGAAAACACTTTGAGACACATTTGATGCACATGTTTATACAATGATTTTGCAAAAAATGTCAAAGAATGAAACTGGAATTGAATAGTCTTTCAAACACTACGAATATTATACAATGAAATACACCGACTTAACAAAATCCTGTGCATCACAACACTACTCCGACGATTGTCTCGCATAATGAGTGTCCATCCATCACCATCTCCTAAGTTAACATATTTATAAACTAAAAACTAGATTAAGTCAGAAAAAGAAACTCTTAAGTTTTATATTTATTTAAATCTTTTCCTAGTTCATTTCTTTTGTTTTAAATTATCCATTTACATAATAAAAACCTAATAAATTAATATGGTGATTATATTCTCAATTTTCATAGCTCAATTTCCTTAAAGAATCCTTTTGCGGAAACTCTTTTTTGTGGTTTTTTTTTTATTCTTTTGCTTTTGGGGTATATGCCCACAATAAATGGGCTGATTGGTGGACACAAAAGTGTCCATGAACTTCTATTGGGGAAGCTGAAGCCCTTCATAAAAGAAAGAAGAAAAAAGAGGCCATAGTGAGTAGTATAATAATACTGATGTGGTGGGGTGGCCCAACAATCCCCAAAGTCCCAACCCAGAAGCCTCATGCTTGGCCAAATGTCCTACCTCTCATTGGCTGAAATGTGGAAACTGATTCCAAAAAGCCAATCTTCTTATTCTGTTAGATAAATAATTTTCACCAACTCCTAAATTGCTAATTGTTCTCAGCCCATTATGATAGAGAACTTTCTTAGCATGAAAGGAGATGTTGGAATAGATACATATATGTTATTTAAACTCAAATTTTGTTAAATGAGGATTTCGAGATGAATTATTTGTGAAGTTAAAACAAATTGCACAAACTCGGTAGCTAAACGGTAAATGAAAAAAAGAAAGACGTTCGAGAGTGGTAGATTAGATGTGAGTCTTCAGCTAGTTACGATTTTGTCATGGCTAAATTGCTAATTGTTAACACTCATCTTGATATATCCCGGTAAAGTTTTTGAGTCTCTAGTCGCACTACCCAAAAAAATCAAGCGAAATTGGTCTTTCCAAACAGAAGGCACAAGCATCGCCCATCGGTCATAAGTCATACCAGACTATTCTAACTGTTCTCGTGAGGTACTTGATTATGTAAGTCATACCAGAAGAAAACCGATAGGTACCTAGATAAGTGCTTTTGCTAAATGTACAAGAGTGATTTGAGTGTCTCAACAGGTTTTTATCAGGTTTTGGGGATAGTGTCCTTTGATTTCAAGAACAGACATGGAGTTAGGTTTTTGTTTTTTGCAACATGTGTCCTTTTAGAGGTCAGTTGTGACTTTCTTATGCGTCTTTTTTGCCCCTTGTACTTGTTCATGATTTTGGTTGTTTAATTTCTTGCATCACTTTCTTTTATAATATCCGCACAAATTCTTCAAGAAGAAAAAAATCAGAATAACCTAGAAGTGAGTATGTGGAACGAATTTCACATCTTTAATTTTCGTTAATTTTTTTTTTAATTCTGAATTGTATTGTTCTCCGTCAAATAACATACTATTAAAGAACATACCACTGGAAAAAAAGATATCAACCGTCAATTTTTTTACACAAAACCGACGATATATTTTGAATGACCTGTCACATTAAAATAAAATGATGTACCACATTTCTTACATATACCTTGACCACTTAGCTTGTACGTATAAAAGTATCTTCGCATGGTTGGTCCCATGCTCCCAGCCAGGTCCCCTACAAATTTTTTATTTTTTATTATTTTTTATTATTATTTTTTTTTTTAGGGGAAGGTCCCTAGTGATGGCAATGGGGCGGGGCGGGGCGGGTACCTCAATTCCCATGCCCCGCCCCACGTTACTGCGGGGCGGGGCGGGTAGACCTACTCTTACATGTTGTTCAAAAAAATACAAGTAAATTTTACTTTTTACAACAAAACGTAGGAGAAAACACTTTAAGAATGAAAAATATTGATAATAGAATGGATAATTGAGGCTAACAAGTTGAAAGATCGACTCTAACTAGTTGAAAAAAAGTCAAAATAGGAGAAATATGTATAGATATGTAAGAAATTGAGATAAATGAGTCTAGAACGGGGCGGGCAGGGCGGGTCGGAAGTAGATACCCATGCCCCGCCCCACGCTACTGCAGGTCGGGTAATACCAGCCCCATCACGGGTCAGGTCGGGCAATAACCGCGGGGCGGGTTGAAATTGTCATCGCTAAAGGTCCCCTACAAATTAATTCAAGTTAATTGAAGTGATCTTAGTTTGCTTGGCCTCATTTACGTATCCAATTTTAAGGCAATTAATTAGCTGCGTTGCCCTTCTTATATTTATTAACACTAAATGTCAGAATACAAAGTCTGCGAGAAACCTAGCTACCAATAACCTTCAAAATTTTCTCAAGGGACTCCAATATTTAACTGTGTAATCAAGTCAGTAATTCAATATCAACTAACGGTGATACAGCCAAATTTGCACTTGCATTTCTTTTGTATATTTAGTTTTGTACAACACAATGTAGGCTTTCTTGCGACAAGAGCTTGGCCCAAGGGTAGTGTCGTTAGTATTAAATACGGAGGTTTCGAATTCGAATATCTTAAGTAGTACCTAACTATAAACATTAATATATGTCATCCTTATAAAAAAAATATAGGCTTTCTACGAATCAAACTCTGCCTCCGGTGAAAATTTTATATGGAATGTAATGGTATGACATATAATCTGGTGGTCACAATTTTTTTCTTTCGATGGTTGGGGCCCATAAATCATTTAGATCGTTTTTACGGTGTTATTGACTTTTCTACCATACTCTTCAGTAGCATCTTACTACATTCGAAGAAGGGTGTTTTGTGCGTTTACTTACTGGTAAAAATTAAATCCACCTCCAAGTGGGAGCTCAAAGAGTGTCATTAACCAGTTTTTCTATTAGCCCAACTCCAACTAAACTTAAGCTCACTAAGCAGAGTCAGTTAGCTTGCTAACCATAAGGGGGTTAGCATCATCCTAATCCTGAGTTGAAGTAGTATAATCATAGTTGTAGCCATTGTTTTGCAATTGTAGTCGGTTTTTTTTTGTTCTACAACTCCAAAACAATCATAGTTGTATCCTACAACTCCAACGCATACTGCGACAACTTGTGGTAATTACCATGATGCTAACCCCCTAATACGGTTAGCACAGTAACCAGTCCCTCCGTTAAGCACATGAACTCAAACTAAAGAAAACCCTAATCACAACTAGTTGAGCTCTAGAGTCTAGCATCAGTTATGGGGAGGCCACCAGAAGGGAACAATCGAGTTGTTAACAGTACTATGTGAGTGTGTTGAATTGTTGTTTGTACCACATGCATAATAGTGAGTGAGGGCCTAGCTAGATAGATAGATAGAAATAAATGGGCTAGCTATCCCATTGAACACCACCACAAAATTTGACCAAGGAATTGATGAAGATCAAATTGGTGACTTACCACGAAATAGGATGCTGTGGTCCTCTTCCTATGTTCTCTAATGGGTGGTGCAGAAAAATAAATTTCAAAGCCAAAGAAGACATGAAATAAGAGGAAAAAAGGTGTTTTTAAAACTTCCATTTTCATTTGGTTTCACATTATTGATGGAGTTCAAGGGGGTTTTGGGTTAACAGCGACAGGAGAAACTGGGAAATCGGAGTTTTTGTCAAATCCAAGTTTTCCTCTTCCCCTCTCACCAATTCAATTATAGTGCCACTTGAACTAAAATTTCCAAGGGGTTCTTCTTGGTTTCCAAGTCTCCTAACCCATCTAATTAATAATGGATCAACACTCATAATTATGCCATTAACTAATTAACTATAATCAAATCAACCCTCCCCACAATAATGGTAGGGTTTAAGTAGTCAATTAACTTGTTAGTTTCTTTTCTTATTCTCCCTAGTGGTAGTTAAGTAGTGTATTAATGTCAAATTTTCACTTCATAGTAAAGCATATATTTCAACCATCCAAAAAGAAAAGGGAGGAAAACTGTGAATAGTTGAATTTAATTAGGTAGTAAATGTTTTTTTTTTCTTCATGATAGAAGTGTCGATAAATTAGTTGGTAGAGCACCCGTTGCGATTTGCTCAATAACATTGTTAGAGGTTTTTTTTTCCCTTGAATTTTCATGTGTTTACTCATCATCCAAATCACGAATCAATACACAATTTTAATTCGCTTACTTGTATATCCTCACTGTTCAAACTCACTATAGATTATGTGAAAATGATTTCCGCTCTCATGAGAATTTCTCAAATATTTATAGAAGTGCAAATAATTTCAAACATATATATCACCATCCCTTATAACATCCAAACCATTTATATCTTGATACAACCTTCATTGAAAGATTATCATGAACAAACATGATTGGGGTTAGTAACTATTCCTTACTCGAGTTGAATAATTGCTACTATGCTCACATAGCAACTTGCTCGAAATAAGGAATCCAACTCTGTACATATCCAACAAGACAAGAAGGATAGAGAGAAACAGAGGAAGAGAGAGAGAGAAAAAAATGTTACAACTTACAAGAGAAAGGGTAGAAAGTCAAAAAGTCAACCTTCAAACCTTCCCCTTACTTACTAGAAAGCCAAAATTCCCTCTCCCTTCTCTTAAGTGCCAATTAACACTTAATTAAGTACATGTAATTAAAAAAAAAACCCAACTTTCGCCACGCTTTGCCATTGCCTGCCTTCCATTTCTTTTCAAACTCTGTATCTATAAATACCCTCCAACCTTCTCCATCTTCCCCTGTACTAATCCTACTCTCTCTTTCTCTCTCTCTCTCTCTCTAAAACAAATAAAATATTCTCTCTCTCTCTCTCTCTCTCTTTTTGTTTACTAAGCAAAACCCAGAAGAGGAAACAAAGATGGACGTCAGCTACACATCGCCGGTGGCCGGAGGAGACAGCAACAACAGCCAGAGGAGCTCCTCGTCCTCTTCCTCCGGCGGCGGAGACCACTTCAGCGCGGAGGAGGAGATGATCAGCGAGCTCCGGCGTGGACCGTGGACGGTGGAGGAAGACTTCAAGCTCATCAATTACATTGCAGCTCACGGCGAAGGCCGCTGGAACTCCCTCGCTCGCTGCGCCGGTAAGACAACAACCAAAATTACAAAACGCTACCCGATGTTTTTCCACCACTCTGTTTCTACTCCTCTTTCATTTTTCCTCGTTTCATATCAGTCCTCCACCAATTCAGCCAAAAATAGTATTGTCGATTCCTTTGCTTTTCCAAGGAAAGGGAAAGCTCCAAATCCAACACGCAAGTTGCTCATATAGTGCATCATCATCATCATGTTCATCTCTCCCTCTCTCTTTCTCTCTCTACTCATTGATCCCATGTTCTTGATTTCCTCCAATCAAATCTTTTCCTTCCTCAAAGAAATATACATATACCAAAGATATCATCTGGCCCGATTTTTAGCCTTATACGAAATTAATTAATATTTGATCGATTTCGTGTTTATTTTTTCGGGTTTCGTATTTGGATCACTTATAACGAGTCTAATTAAGTAAAAAATATGGAGGGATCATTGTGAGGCGGCTTTGAATGAGAGATCACATCAAGGAGAGGAAAGTGTACTATGACCCATCACCGTCCAAACGGGGAAAATTTACTGTACTACTGTTTTTGTTTGAGTAGAGTGGGGGATCTTTCTTTCTTTCATAGCATATGATATGATCAATTAGACAATTAATGTATTCAAGTGTCGTGTGGTGAACCAACTTTACCAAATCTTACGGAATCTTGGCGGTTTTTAATGAAACAGGTCTGAAAAGAACAGGAAAAAGCTGCAGATTAAGGTGGCTCAATTATCTACGGCCCGACGTCCGACGTGGCAACATCACCCTCGAAGAACAGCTCATGATCCTCGAGCTCCATTCCCGCTGGGGCAACCGGTAATTTTTTCCCATTTCCCCCCACCTCCATCACGTGCATATGCGCCAAGGCTAGCTTGATATATAAGAAACATCCAACTCACTCTGGATTCGAATCTTTTTTGATACGTGCGCGCGTAGGTGGTCGAAGATCGCACAACACTTGCCTGGGAGGACGGACAACGAGATCAAGAACTACTGGAGGACGCGGGTCCAGAAGCACGCGAAACAGCTCAAGTGCGATGTCAACAGTAAGCAGTTCAAGGACACGATGCGGTACCTTTGGATGCCGAGGCTAGTGGAGCGGATCCAAGCCAGTGGCGGCGGCGGCGGCTCTGCCTCCACGTCCGGTACCGCCGCCAATTCTCTGCCCACCGGCCCGATGATTAATGACCCCGCAGTGGCAGAGAGCAGTAGTGGTCTGGCGAGCTACGGGATGGGTAACTTGGACGGTACGTTTTGTGGTTATAGCTACACTACTGCTACTGCGACCGAGAATTCGAGCACGGCGGCATCATCTGCTGATTCCTTTGGGAACCAAGTCTCGCCCGTATCGGACATGACAACGGACCACTACAATGCCATGGGTGGTCAGAGCTCCAACATGAACTCGTCTGATTATAATATCGGCAACTATCAGGGATATACAGACCAGTTGATCAGTCCGACGACAAATTATTACAACCCTGTCTGGGATCAACAATTTCAAGCTCCGCAGCAACATCAAAACAACGACGAGTATTACACCAACAACAGTAACCAAGTGCAATGGATGGATGGTGGGAATGCGTCAGACAGTTTGTGGAACACCGATGATATTTGGTTCCTCCAACAACAATTCAGCAACAACAACATCAACATGTGAAAGAAAAATATACAAGGAAAAGGGGGGGAGGTATACGGTTATTATACGTACTACTTCATATATTATACAGAAAAGTAGTATAATTATGCGAACAGGGCGAAGGTAGACAGAGAGGAATAGAATGAAAGAATTAATCCGTAGACGATGGATACCAATGATATTAGAGTATATGATTTGCAATTGCTTAGAGATGAGGAGATGTCTCTAATTGTGGATTATTAATATTTTTCTTCTTTTTTTTGTGGTTATTTTTACAAAATTATCTTGGTTTGTTTGTTGGTTGGTTGTTTTTTTTTTAATCTTCTTTCCCCTTGGATTGGGATAGGAAAGGATGTGAAGGGAATTTTAGTTTTATAGGTTTCCTCAATCTCATTCTCTCTTTGACACATGACATATTGTAACTCCTACTTTCTCTTTGTTTTTGCTATGTAATATATAAAGCTTCCTCTTCTTCATATCTTGAGCAATGAATTTTACTAGATTGCCATTGGAATGGTGATTGCACTATGGAAACATGTCAAAGAGAAAGCCCCACAACTTAAAAATGTTTTGTTTGGACAAAAATCTAGGAGAGTGCATAATTGGTTCCACCATCATCTTGAGCTTGAGTTGGAGGGGAATACTAATATTTTAATAAGCTAATGAATAGTGAGATTGGATTATAGTCATGCAACTTTTGAAACTCTTGTCCATGGGGCATGAACCTTCCCAAGATTACAAAGTAAAGAGCTTCTAGATTTTCAAAATTAATCTCATATTATTTATTAACTTATCAATTTAGACGTGGCACAATGGTATTATATTAATTAGATGGTGGCCACTAACCCTAACAATCTCTACTTTTATTCATAATTACCCCCACTATTAATCCACAAAGATGGTGATGGTGAATCGTTTATATCCCATCACCCGAACTTCAAGCAAACAAAGTAAAAAGATTATTGTGTCCCGGCCTTTAATTGTACGGATAAAAGTGATTAGAGCCCATTTAGCCGGACATAATTATCTCTTTGCCGGGGGATGCATGGCAATCTTTTTCTTCTTCTAAGCTTGGAGGGTTGTGTAATTTGTAATATATATTATTTAAAATTGATGAGATTAGTGTAGTATGCACATTAGTAGGGGTCGGTTAGCATGCTAACCCCTTTGGGGTTGGAAAAATGACACCCCTTAGTATATTAAATACAATTATAGAATTTAATACACACATTAAATACACATTAGGAATTAAATGTACCATATTAATTAGGAATTCTCTCACTATTAAATACACATTATGAATTGAATACACACATTAAATACACATTAAGAATTCTCTCACTATATTTGATTTTTCCTTTTTCAGCAGTCTCCGACCACCAGACTTCCTCCGACCCCCACACTTCTCCGGTGAAAATCCCATCGGCAGACTCCCTCCGACCACCTCCAAAAAATATACCACTGCACTGATACGGTGTACCACTGTACTGGTAGATATACCACTGCACTAATACGTTGTACCACTGTACTGGTAGATATACCACTGCACTGGTAGCGATATTAGTGCACTGGTAGCAATGTCATATCTGAGTATCAGTGCAGTGGTACAAATACCAGTAAAGTGGTAATTAATGTGGTGTATTTAATGCTTACTTTGTATTTAATAACAGAACATTTATTATGTTTACTTTCATTAATACTTGTCAATAATTAATGAAAAATTGACCAATTAAAAGGGGGTGTCAAAAAACCAACCCTTAAGGGGTTAGCTAACCCGTCCCCACATTAGTATGATATGTATGGCGTAAGAGGTCATTTCGTTAATTTGATGTATTATAAAGAATATAACCATTCTAACAATCTTTAAAATAATATGAGAAACCAGACAACTCTTAATTAAGCAGTGCCCATGTGACTGCAACGAATTGATTAACAATTGTAAAGCTGTACGTATTTAGATACGTGTCATACGATACGACCACCTTACCCCTGTGTTGAAAAGGGCAGAACGGAGAATTCACAGTTGGTAATGGCACGTGCGACATGGGAATGGTTAGGACGGGCGGTGGGGGAGCCAGCACGTGATTAAAAACAGTTGTGTAGAAAAAAAAAAGGCGGGAAGGACGAAGAAGTGTATGGCGGCGGGGAATCTTTGTAAGCCGCGTGTCTTTTAGAGAAGCCATCGAACTGGTCCCCGGGGTAGCGTGGGGTTGCCAGACCGCCACGTGTTATTCTGCCACCTAATAAGCCGCTAAAGGACGGGGGGAAAAAAAAGATTGTTGTTAATTTCTCCTACCCGTTTCACAAAAAGAAGAAAGAAAAGAAGGCAAAATTGGTGTTTATAATTTTGACAAAATGGTATATGGTTTCATGGAGGACACAGCCGAAACCATTGAAATGCAAGCTCTTTATTCCCCATACAAGCCAACAAGACTTTGCATTCCGTAGTATGTAATTATGCATTGTTTATCAACTTATTTGCACAAGTTGATTTTATAGAATGTAATCAAATTTCCCTTTTCCCCATTTTTTATCGCACCAATTGTAAATGAAGTACGTATAAGTGTATAACATCATCCACATTTGTACTAACACAAAAAAAAAAACATTAAGAAAATGAGAGAGCCAAACACAAACGAAGAGCAACCTGATTGTCGTCAAGGGGAAGGCACATTGTAAGGACCTATGAATTTTACGTAGGGGTGTCCTCTTTTAAAAAATAAATTAAATAAAAATTATTAATTATTAAATAAGAAAATACATGAATCGTACAAGTTAAAAAATGTCCTTGATGTGTTTTCATATTAGGTAATAATTATAGAATATACTTGGTGTCTACACTACACTAAAAATATTTCTTTGTATATCTACTAGACAATTATTCATGAACTGATCGCATATTCGATTTCTAGATTTGTTCTTCATATAACCCAAACTTGAAAGAACTCTTTCTACACTTATCGTACAGCCATAAAATCAATACAAATTAAGGCTAACTTGAAATTAGTTTAATTGTTAGGTTATGAAAAATATTAGATCTAGGGAATGACAATTTTACTATTATACAGTGTTTAAAATCAAACAACAAATGAGTTGTAGTCTAGTGGAAATTATGTTTATTAATAACAATTTTGTCCTAGGTTTGATTTACCCAAACTACTACTTATATTTTCATACGCAATCTAAAAAAGGCAGAGCAGAATAATCATTTTTTCTAATTTCAAGGGGATGCCTCAATATTAATTATAATTTTTTTTGTACATACGTAAATTACCATCGGGGATTGAAAATCATTTCCCAAAATTTAAAGGTGTCCCCACACTGCCTGGGTCCGCCACTAATTGTAAGAGGACCATAATCTGGAATAGTCGCACAACGGCGATCTGAAACAATCATAGGCTCAAGACAACATATCTTGCATCTTGGTTCCAATTTACCAAGCCATTCCTCCTCGCATGATTGCTCGACCAGCTAGGTTAGGTAGAAGTTAAATCCAATAGAGGATCCTAGTAGATAAAGGTGTCAAATGAATTGGATTGATAAATTGGTGGTCTAATGGATTAGATTTAAATAAACCATTGGATTCATGGATCCAACTGACATGTAAATCTTGAACCATTATAAACACTTTGAGGATTTCATGTACTAAAAATACAATATAAAATAAATTAGATACCAAACAGCAAGTTTGAAGAATATTTTCCATTGGAAATTTTAAATTTGGCCACCAAATTGTAATATAAAACTGTTATGTGGATTTCCCGGATTAGAACTTCCACGCTACGTGTCTCTCATGAATTGAACAAAGGAACTCGAGAATTGCTTTAGAATGAAGAGAATTAGACTTAGAACGAAGTGAAATATAGGATTGAAGAACTAAACGGCTAAGCTAATTGGATTCCAATCTTCTCATGATATTAAACGAAAGACCAAGTACATATTTATAGGCATTGAAGCCTCTACCTCGTCCTATCTAGAACATGACACCTACTCCTATAAGGAAATTACTAACAATAACTAAATCCTACTTAAACAAGAAAAACACAAATAAAGACAATTAATAGTAAAATACTAAATAATAAAATAACCAAGCCCCGATCGAGGCCCAATAGTTACGATGACTTGATTCTCGTAACAAAAAATATAGATATTAACAGTAATTTTTTAACAATAAATGAATCCACCAATCCAACTGAATTAGTTAAATTGCTAGTAGATTAATTTGATTAACTTTAGGGATATGATTCAAATTATCATCACTAGTAGAGATCCCACGTGGTTTTGTCCTTGATGTGCATATAATGTGATTTCCTGAAAGGTCATCCATATTTATATTACTCCACATTGAACACATTTTAATTTTAGAATTCTTACAAAACTCTTTCATTTCACCCAGAATAGTATTAGGGATGGCAAAAATATCTGTAACCGTGGATATCCACCCGAATCCGGCCTAATCGGGTATAGTAATATCCGAACCCGAAGGACATTTAGTGGGTACGGGTAAAACCCGAATATTGCGGGTAATGGGTGGGCATGGGTTTCTAACTATCCAACCCGAACTCGCCCGATTATACGCATGCATGTGTATTTTCTCTAGAAATAATTATTATTTTTCTCTAACATATTTTATATTTAGCATATAAATATAATATTTTCATGAAATTGTGTTGTGTTAGTTAATTTTCTTCATCTAGGAAACTATTGTCGTACTTTTCCTCTTACGTAATGTGAGAATACGTGTGAATGTTAACATATTGGTTGGAGTTATGAAGAGAAATTATTATCCATGGATAACCGTGGATAACCGAAACCCGAACGGGTATGGGCATGGTTTTAATTTTCTACCCGTTTCACATGTGGGTATGGGTATGGGTAAAACCCGAACTACTTTGGGTAGGGTAACGGATATGCACTATCCGTCCCCGACCCATTGCCATCCCTAAATAGTATTGTAAGTTAAATTTGTCTAACGTGTTAGATGCATATTTTTCTTTTTTGTCACCTTGGAGAAAAAAAGGGGGGAAAAAGGAAATGGAAGGTTATTTTATCCAAGAAACTGAAGAAAGTGTGACTTGGGTGAGCAACACAACTGGACTCCACTATTGCAGTACTTGGCTTCTTCCTTTCCGTCTTGTCTGAATTCATTAACGTGGTGTATGTATCCTAAGACTAAGGCCGGCGTACGCCACGAAGACTTCTGCTTCCTCCTCCGCAATATACGGTGGGCCCAGCCCAATTCTACAGCAGTCACATAGACGGATCCTGGGTGGGTCAAATCTGGGGTTTGAGCTTATCCCACGTGGGCTTCTCGTCCACATTTTCACATCAATAGTTATCGACTTGGTAGTTGGTACTTCTTCAAATAATAATAATTATTAGCTTATTGTAGGCCAGAGTATTTGCATATTGGTTTTTAATGAGTAATTAACCGTATTCATGGTGTAGTAGTAGTAGATGTTACTTATTATGCACTCGCTCGTAGAATAATCACGAGAATTAATTAAGTACGGATTTCGAGAATATAATTATCGTTATTAGAAAAGAATTTTGTGTGTTTTTTTTAATAATTTTATCCAACTTAAATTTAATTATAAGAAGTTACTCAAAGTCATTAATCACTCCCTAAAGTATGAATGGATTATGCGAAATAGTGTTATCGTTACCAACTAGATATTGAAAGATTAAGAAGTTGTTGTGCATCAACCCCGAGCTCAAACTTCTTCGTATACTAGCTTTCAGTAGTCAGTGGTGATATTCTTGTATGTTGCCACGTTTTATTTTTTTTCTTTTGATGAAGGGATTTGTAATGCTGGAGTCCCTAGCTAGGGTTGCGAATTAGGCCGCCTATAGAGTGACACATGCTATTTTTGTTCCCCAAGTTGGGATAATTAACTGTATCTAGCTTCTTTGTATTCCATGTATCTACTATCTAATGGAAAAGAAAAGACCTGGACTGAAATAGTGTTTCCTGACCTCTACTCAATTTCATGCTTTGATTTGATAATGGAGCAAGAGAAATAGGGTAAACGAGTGAAAGGATGTAACTAGAAAGGCTGCCCAAATGCCAATTCAGGCTTCAGACGACCAAGACTTCTTCTCATTTTCCACCAATCTCGTCAGTCGCAGTCCGCAGCACAATCTCTAAAAAAAAAAAGATAGTCATTTCATGGCGTGGGACTCAGGCAGACTGATACGTTAACATCACCACATCACGAACCGCCCTTTTTATGGCTATTTACAATGAACTTCGTTGCCTTTTCTTCCTCTTCTTCTGTTAATCCCATCAATCTATATCGGTTGTTGATACTGATTTGTGCCTTTCAAATCTATAGTTCTCCCCACGTTGATCCAATTGTGTGGTGACAGAAGATGGATACTATTAGTAGCATCTGGGCCAGCGTCACAAATACCTTGCAACAGTAACCACTTGTACTTTGCAAAGTTTGCAACTTGGACGACGGCTGTGAAATGGCCCCCTTGAAATGGGGAAGCCATACATGTTTAGCTAAGTGGGCATTCAACAAATGTTTCGTAGAACGTTCGCGATATGTCATCGTTACGAACCGAAAACAATCAACATCTATATTGATAAAGCTGTGGACCTTTCGTCTTTACTTCCTCGGAAGTGCTAGAAATAGTTTTGTAGCCGATAATTGGGTGCTATAAGGGGGATTGAAGACTTTATTGTAAGCCATGTTTGACTATATTTTTTGTGCAGAGAATAATATATAAGTCGATTCACTAATAAGCAGTTAGTCGAGCGCTTATTCGTTGACCACCGAGTCGAGTTGGCTTGTGATCAGTTGAACAAGATTACGATCAAGCTCCACTCTTTAATAAATGAGCCAAGTGACTTTTTTCTCAAACCAAACATCGGTCGAGAGCCGATTGTGAGTAGTTCGTCTCATTTGCTGCCCCATTAGTAAACACCCGGCTCCAAACTCAAATTCTGACACTTATTAACATCAACCACATCATAAGCTATCATAGTACACTCCTAAAGCTACCCATCGAAGAACACATGGTGCAACAACCAGCTAGCTATAGAGAAGGACAACAGAATCTTTTTCTAGTATCTCGCATGCATATAACATGTTGAAATATCATCAACACTCACGAATAAATCATGGCAAAATATCCAAAAAAACACGACATAACACGTTGGAGGGTTTTGTGCACTTATATGGGTTTGTCATCCTTTCAGAAAACTAAATTAGAGTGTGTGCCGATTGCTTGTTTTGTCAAATATTACGAACCATAGCACATGCTACCTATTCTCACATGTGGCAAGCAAAGAAAGGAGTACTTAACGTTATAGAGAGTAAAGAGAAGAGAATGGAGAGAGCAATCCCAACACCAACTTGCCATTTCCATACAACAAAACAAAGAAAAGACACAATAACAAACGACCCCCTATCTCGTCTTATCATGATCAAATGTTAACGTTTAACAATAACGATAAGTCTAAATGAAATGCAATACACATGGTTATATAGATAACTAGATAGATGTCATCATGTACTATAACTTTGTGACCACCCGTTAATGTCCTTTATTAATTCATGGGTATCTTGCCTCTTCTATAGCCACGATCGAGGATGTCGATTCGAATTCGTTTCATCGGGTATTATCCGACATGATCCGTGCTGGAGCAGGTATTATTTGATCTGCGACAGCGTGAGGCGGAGACGAGTACTATTAATGACCCGCCACATATCCAATTTCGCATCAATCTTGAGCCGTTGTATCTCGATTGATCTCAATATATATTTTTGTTTTACCTATTTTTAACTTTTCTTAAATCATATATTCAGTAAATAAAACTTTGAACAAGTGCAATACTTCATCTTTCATCTAGTTGGACTCGGTTATTCTATCTGTTATTTCTACCTTACATTTATGGAATATCATTCATTCCTTTTTTTTGTAACATAATTTATTTTTTGTATTTTCCTTTTTTAAATAACAAATAAAAATGTTCCGATCGACATATCCCGACCAATTGGTACCCACACTAATATTATTTGATCTGATCGCATTTAGTATGAGACAAGGTATATGAGTATTGATGTACCGCCCGCACCACCTTACTGCCATCACTAGGCATGATCAATTAATCCTCATCACTTATAATTAGC